CATCAATGATGAGAGGCAATTACTGATTGGCTGCCTCCTTCATGCTCCCCACTGGGGATCAAGCCTGCAACCTGGGCACATGCCCTTGACCGGAATCGAACCTGGGACCCTTAAGTCTGCAGGCCGATGCTCTATCCACTGAGCCAAACCAGCCAGGGCAAGATTTGTATTCTTTACTAACTTTTCCATGGACTGTTGTACAATTTTTCTTACTGTTTCCAAGAGCTCTTTATATATTATGGACATTACCCCTTTTTGTTATGAGTTATAGTTTTCTCTGTTTGTCTTTTGTCTTGACTTTGTTCAGGGTGATTTTTTTACCTTGTAGATTTTCTTCTGATGTTTACATGAAGTTGCCTGTTTAGACATTTCTTTTACGGCATCTGAGTTTTGTGTCAACCTGAGAAGGTGGCTACCTTTGAAAAGGTGGAAGGTGGGAAGGAGCATTCTGACAAGACAGACTATCAGGTGCAATGATCCTGAGGTCGGAGGGGAAATTGGCACATATATTACTCAGTGTTCTCCAGAGAAACAGAAACAATAAAATGCATGTGTAAAGAAAGAATGATTTACTTTTTAAAAAAATTTGCCATATGATTGTGGAGGCTGACAAGTCCAAAATCTGCAGGATAGGCTGGCAGCCTGGAGACGCAAGAAGAATTGTGATTGGAGTCCAAAGGCAGTCTGCTGGCACCCTCCTTCTTTGGGTGAAGTCAGTCTTTGTTCTATTAGGGCCTTCAACTGATTAGATGAGACCCACTCACATTATGGGCAATAAATCATTTTACTCAAAGCCTACTGATTTAAAGGTAAATCGCATCTAAAACATACCTTCTCAGAAACATCCAGACTGGCATTTTATCAAACATCCCAATACTTAGCCTAGCCAAGTAGACAAATAAAATTAACCATCACAGTCCACCCCTTCCCAAACTTGGCACACACACCTCTCCTTAAATCATACTTTCATAGTACACGATGTGGGGCCCATGCTTCTCTCACTGTACCCACCCGGCCCAGCAAGGCCAGGATGACGTCCTCCATCCACATGGAGAGAACAGACTCCAGGGTTGTGCGTGGGCATAAAGGAGATCAGAGGCTGGTGTTATCGGTGCCCTGGATGGAGGAGTGGCTGGCAGAGAGTGCAGAGGGTTGCCCACGACTCCTAGGAAGAGGTGAGATTGCTCACAACAGACTTGGGAGTGTGCAAATGGGAGGGGCACGTGTCTGAAAGGTTGTAGAAGAAATTGATGCCACAGGTAGGGTTTGGAGCTAGGGAACCTTAGCCTGGTCTAAATGAGAATCCACCCAGCAGCCTACGGTGGTGGGGGTTTCCTCATCCTCCTCACTTCCTATAGCATTAGAGACAGCCTGTCCCACATTCCTTGTGTGTGTGTGTGTGTGTGTGTGTGTGTGTGTGTGTGTGTGTGTGTGTGACTGGCAGTGCCTTGGCACCATGGTGTGAGGCGGGTGTCTCCTGAGTCTGGGATGACTGGTCTGTTGCAGACATTGTGGTTCTAAATTCAAGATCCACATATCTTGAGCTTGGAGGTGCTGCCCCTGGTGGGAAGAATAAGAAGTTTCCCCTCACTACCCTGTAACTTCCTGGGGGTTCTTGAGGATTCCACAGATTGAAGCTGCCTTGCCTACCAGGTGGGGAGGTGAGGCATGGGGTCCAGTCCTGCGTGTGGGTGATCTGGGGATCTCGGCCTAACTGTGGGGTCCTCCCTCCAGCTGACGACCACCTGCTATCCAGAGATGGACTGGACGCAGTGGGACAGGGTGGGTGGGGGTAGCTAGGGCCCTAGCCCTCACCTATTGTCTGATAGTATATGTGGGGGAAGAGTGGGGTGGCCTCTGTGCTCCACAAATAAGTGAGTTTCCGCTCTTGAAAATTCCTGCTTGTGAACAATACTGCCAGGTGAGTCACAGACACACAGAAAGACTCAGGGTGAAATAGCGAGAGAGAGCCTGTGAGACAGGTTCAATAATGATTGATAGGTTGAATGAATGAATGAAGCCTTGGACTGGGGAGGAGAGGACCCATAGATAAGCTCTGGCAGCTTGTGCTTCTTTTACTGATACACTGAGATGTGTCCAGGCTGAAGGACGAGGTTCTGGTTTCTATTGTGCTGGAGGGCCTGAAGGTAGAGGTCCTGCCTTCATCAGGACTCCAGCATGGCTGAGGATGAGGGCAGAAGGAGGAGCAGAGGCCCATGGTACACTGTGGGGAGAATGCCAGCCTCCTTCCTATAAGGCTGGACTCCAGACCCTTGCAGGGAAAGGATGGGCTGAGAGAGACCTCTATGGCATCCTCAGGGCAGGTTCCAGAGAAAGCCCCTAGGACCGTATCTCAGGAATAAGACAAGGGTCTCAAGGTCTATGCATTTCTTACTAAAGGTTATTCTTACCAAATGCTATTCTTGCTAAATGTTAAAATGTAACAGTATTTTACAGACCTAGAAGTAACCTTATGAACTCGACCAGAACCCAGTTAAGATGTTTAACTAACTGCAAAGAAACCAACATGCAATTAACAAAATTTGGATGAGTTTCGCCAACTGCCAAGAAGAAATCAACAGGTAATTAACAAAATGGTATATCTAATCCATGATTAAGCCTCTTTTCTAAGAGACAGATGTGAATCCGTGTCCTTTACTTGCTGCAAGTAAATAGTAAAACTGTAACAGGGTTGTAAGAAGCCAGCAAAATTCCTAAGTAAGTAGAATAGGGAAACAAGAAATTAAACAAGATCAAACAGTTTGGGCTACTCGAAGCAAAACCTTAGAGTGAGAACAAATGGCTAGTCCTCTCCTCACTAACGGAAGAATGCAGCAAGGGAGGGGAGTTTTAATGCCTCTTCTCCCTAACCAAACAATACACACCTAAATCACCTTGGAACTGCTAAGGCAGGACTGGAAAGGGGGAAGGAGGAGAGAAGAGGGAGTTTTCATCTCACTGTTTAGTAAACAGAGAAGCCAGCAGTCAGGGTTTGTTAAAGATCAAGTCATCAAATGCTTCTGATCAATTCTGGGAAAGCCATTACAAAGTAAAAGGGAAACCTTAAGGGTTACTCTGTACCAAGATATCTGGCAGAGGACTTTTAAAAGCTATAGATAGAAAAGTAGAAAAATACTAACCCTCCCATCAGACTCCCTCCTCACATTAACTGAGAAAGCCTGTCTGTGCTTCATAAGCTGGATGTATTTGATAGATTTGCTTGCCTTGCTTTTTTGGATACATTTACTGGCTTTATTTCTTTAATAAATTTGTTTACTATATGAGAATGAGAAGGGGGCAGCTTTCTCTCCCTCTGCCTCAGGGGGCTGTCCGATGACACCTTTCCTGGTGCCTATAACAAGTGGTGCCTATAACGAAGCTGCCGAAGGACAACCACGTCTCATTCTTGAACGGCGAGAGGGGAGGTCCTTCCCTGCCCCAGAAAGCTCCCGGGGCCTTGGTACTTAAACAGCAGGGGGCTGATAGCTTTCAGAGGTCCTGGCTTAATACAATCGATATGATTGATGGTCAGGCAATCAGATCAGCCTAATGAGTTCAAATCAATCCAGTGTTATCTGTTCCCTGCTTGACTAACTAATTCAGTAGTGGTGCCCTGAATAGTACACCCCAAGCTGTGAACCCCTTGAGGTTTGGTAACAGGAACAGGCTGAGCAAGGTCTGGGGAGATGGAGTGAACTTGGACTGAACAACTAGCAGAGTGGAGGGAGATGGGAACAGACAGTAGGCCACTGGGGACCTGTGTGGGGGTGGAGGGAAGAGCCAGTGTCTAGGTGATGACCCCACTGGGGTATCTGCCCCAGGTCATGGTGGGCTGGGCGGCCCTCAGAACAACACTGCCTATTGTTGTCTCAACTAATGGGATGGGGCCTAAGGACTGGGTCTGGGGTTGGGTTCTGGGGAGTCTGAAACCCCAGGGTGGGGTATCCTGGATGTCCATCTTGGGGCAACCCTGGAGGAGAGTCTTTGGGGATCAGAACACAGGGGATGGGCTAGGGCATTAGTGGGGTCATTACAGGATGATTCTGGAGGCCAGAGCCTTCAGGAGGGGCTGAGAGAATCTGTTAGGAGGTTCATTGTGAGCTGGGCCATTCGAGTGTATTTCTGGGGCAGGCTTAGTGCAAGGGGTTGAGCTGAGAGCAGTGGGGGCCAAACTGGGACATTGGGGGTCTCAGAACATGATGTTCTTGAAGATACAAATAGGGAATGGGCTCCGGATGGAAGGAAGAATTCTGGGGGAACAAATCATACTGGGTAGAGTTTGGGGAGAAGTTGAAACTTGGGGAATGGGCTCTGGACACTGGAGGTCCCTTAGGGAGCCATTATAGAGGTGACCCTTGAGCATAACATAAATCTTTGTGGTGTATATGGAAGTTTGGCACTTGTGAAGGGGGACTTAGGGGGCACTCAGAACTTCAGGGTGTTGGGTAACGCTGGGTAAGAAGAAAGGGGAAAACTCCAGGAGATGGGTTTGGGGTGCTCAGAACCAGAGATGGCTTGGCAAGTAGATTCTGGAGGGGCTATGTTTGCAGGCACTAGAAATAGGGGGCAGATTATAAGGGTGGACCCAGGGGCTGCAGCACTCATGGAAAGATTCTGGGAGTGGGGTTTGAGCATTCTGGTGCAAGTTCTTGGAGAGGAACCAGTTATGGAAGTGGGTTTGGGGATCTTCGATGAACATATCAATGGTGTGAATTGGGGGAAGGGGGGCTTAAAGCCCAAGGGAATCTTGGGGACTATATAAAAAACAGCAGTTCCTGGGGGTGGGAGATTAAGGTATCCATATCTTGGGAGTGCATTTGGGTGGGGAACTAAACAGAGAGTGCCTTGTGGTGCGCTAATCATGGGAAACGGGTTTGACAGGGTTAGTGGGTCAGCGTCTGGGTGGGCCCAAGAGTGGACCAGACCGACCCTGGGGAAAGGCAGGGCAGAGCTGGCTGGGTAACAAAGCTTTACTGCCCCTCCCCAAGCCTCTGCCACACTCAGTAGCATTTGCGGTACACGATGTGGGGCCCCTGCTCCTCGTATTGCTCCCTCAGGACCCAGCAGGACTGGAAGGCCTGCAGAGAGGCAAGGATGGAGCCCCCGATCCACACCGAGAAGTTCCGGGAGGGCTGGGCGGCCGCCACCACCACGCGCGCTTCAGGGCTCAGGCTGTGCAGCAGCTCCTTGCGGAAGCGGCCCTCCAGTCCCTGGAAGAGCGAGGAGCCACCGCACAGCAGCACGTTCTGGGCCAGGTGTGCCCGCACCTCCGGGGGCACCTTGCTAAGACTCCGTTCAGCCATGGTGGGAACGCCCACGGGCGACAGCCCAGGCATCTCCGGGGGGCTGAACAGCAGCTCTGGACACTGGAACAGCTCCTTACCCAGCGTGACCGTCCGGCCGTCGGGCAGCTGCAGGCCCCGCCGGTACTCCTGCTCGGGCCGGGCCTGTGCCTTCTGGAAGTCGGGGGCCACGTAGCAATAGCTGTGCTTGATCTTCTCCACCACGTCCAGGTCCTGCTGCCCCAGCGGCAAGCCCGAGCCCAGCAGCATCTCCGCCAGGAAGGTAGTCAGGTGGGTGCCCGCCAGGTCCAGGCGCTCGGTGGCGTGGGGCAGGTGGTAGCCCTGGAAGACGGGCACCGTGGAGGTGACTCCGTGGCCCATGTCCACCACCAACCCGCTGACCCGCCCGTGGGCGTAGACAGACAGCACGGACTGCGAAGCCACGTACATGGCGGGGGAGCGCATCGACTCAAAGGCCACCTCCACCAGCTTCTCGCGGTTGGTGGAGGGGCTGAAGGGCTGGTCGGAGAACAGCAGCGGGTGGTCCTGGGTGGCGATGCCCAGGTCGTGCTCCAGCAGGTGGCGCCAGATGAACTCTGCCGCCAGCCAGTCCACCAGGATGCCGTTCCTTATGGGCTTGACCAGCGTCAGCTCTGGGCGCGCGAGCGCGGCCTCGCCAATGAAAGTCTCCAGCACCATCTGGCCCGTGGTGGCCGGCTTCTTGGGCTGGCAGCCCACGATGGTGGCCACGGTGTAGGTGGGCTGGGCCTGCCCCGCGAAGCCCACCTTACAGGTGCCGGTGCCCATGTCGATGACCACCGCGCTAGTCTTTGGTGGCAACCTGTTGCCCACCATGCTGGGGCGTCCTGCTGTAAGGTCTTGTTCACCAGGATTGAGTTGGGGGTCACCCCGGGCCTGGGGGCCAACAGGGCTCAGAAAGGTTGGGGTGATTTGTATCTATAGTTTCAGGTGGGTGGGTGGGCTGTTGGGCAAGGCTGACCTCTTTCCTCTGGGGTGTGGGGGAAAAGGTTGAGGTTGGGCCAGGGGCAGGCACAAGCAGAGACAGGGAGAGGGGGCTGGTCTATGACATCAGCCAGCCTTCTGTCCCCTTCAGAAGACTTCACAATGCAGGGCTAGGGGTGGGGTCCTTCCCTGCCCCAGAAAGCTCTGGGGGCTTGGCACTTAAATAGTAGGGGGCTGATAGCTTTCAGAGGTCTTAGCACAATACAGTCAATAGGATTGATGATCAGGCAATCAGATCAGCCTAATGAGTTCAAATTTATCCAGTGTTACCTGATTCTGGCCTGATTCACTAATTCAGTAGTGGTTTAATAATAATGATATGCATGTTCTATCATCTTCTTTTCATTTATTGGCTAGAGTATTTTATATATATATATATATATATATATATATATTTATTTATTTATTTCAGAGAGGAAGGGAGAGTGATAGAAACATCAATGATAAGAGAGAATCATTGATTGGCTGCTTCCGCCCCACTGGGGACTGAGACCACAACCCAGGCATGTGCCCTGACTGGGAATCCAACCATGACCTCCTGGTTCATAGGTAGATGCTCAACTACTGAGCAACACTGGCCAGGCTAGAGTAATTATTCTTTATACATCTTGTGTATCATTGCACAGTAAAGAAAATGTGAGTTTTAACACAACCTTCCCAGAAAAAGTTCCCCTAACATATTAAAGTAATAACAGATTACATCAATGGGAAATTCACCAAAAAACCTTGACCTTTAGTTTTTGATTTTGATCTTTCTAATTTGTAAATTCTTTTTTTTAAGATTTTTTAAATTGATTTTTTTATTTCTTTTTCTTTTTTAGAGAGAGAGAGAGAGAGAAAGGGAGAGGGAGATAAATATTATCAATCAAACATATCAATCTGCTGCCTCCTGCATGCCCCCTGCCCGGTTAGAGGGCTGAACCTACAACCTAGGAATGTACCCTGACCAGGAATGCAAACTGGAGCATGGGAGAACAGCCAGCCAACTGAGCCACACTGGCCAGGGCCTAAATTATCTTGACAGCTGACTTCTCTTTTGAGATTAGTCCATTTGGGATTATGTAGGTGTACAACCTCATGGCATTTGAAAAGTTAGTCGTGGGACTCTTCGACGATGTTTGTTCCAGTGTGTGTGTGTGTGTGTGTGTGTGTGTGTGTGTGTGAGAGAGAGAGAGAGAGAGAGAGAGAGTGTTTATTGCATCTTGAGGTAGAGGTTTCAGGGTAGGACCCTTAGGTTGGGGAAAATTTCTCCTGACCACTTTCTGTGGGTTTTATTTTCACTCGTGTCTTGACTAGAATGTCAAAAGTAGCATTAAACAGTTCATTTTATAGAATTAAAAAAATTAATACTCATATTAGATATAGTAAAAACAAAGAAAGGTACCATAAAACTATGAGCTGGCCCTGGCCAGTGTGGCTCAGTTGATTGGAGTGTTGTCCCATACACCAAAAGGCTGTGGATTTGATTCCTGGTCAGGGCACCTACCTAGGTAACAGGTTCAGTCCCCAGTTGGGGCAACTACAAGAGGCATGTTTCTCTCTCACATCGATGTCTCTCTCTCTCTCTCTCTCTCTCTCTCTCTCTCTCTCTCTCTCTCTCTCTTCCTCCCTCCCTCCCTCCTTCCTTTTCCTCACCTGAGGATATTTTTGGATTGATTTCTTAGAGAGAGTGGAAGAGAGAGAAAGACAAAGAGAAATATCAATGTGAGAGAAATACAACGATTGGTGGCTTGCCTCCTGCACACACCCTGACCAGGGCCTGGGCTGGGGAGGATCCTGCAACTGAGGTATGTGCCCTTGACTGGAATTGAACCCGGAACCTGTCAGTCCACCAGCCAGCCCTCTATCCACTGAGCCAAACCGCTAGGACAAATCTTCTTGATATCCCAGGACAAGGTCACATTTATCCCCAGAGGGAGAGAGGGAAGGTGGAAGTACAGAAGATCAAAGATAATTACCTAACAATGGAAGGCTTCATTTATCATTGGGTTAAATTCCATGTTTATTTCTATAGTATAAGAGGAAAAGAAGTACAGTGGGGCCTTGACTTACGAGTTTAATTCGTTCCGTGATGGAGCTCATAACTCAAATTACTCATATGTCAAATCAAGAAGTGAACGAGTGAGACACGTGATGCTGGGCTGGTGTTGTGGCGTTCACTGTGATGTTCGCTGCGCCAACTAGTGGTGGGGTATCTGAAGCTGGCTCGTAACCCGAATTTTAGCTTGCAACTCAAAGCAAAAAATCGGCCGAGAGACGGCTCATATCTCGAAAAACTCGTTAGTCGGGACACTCGTAAGTCAAGGCCCCACTGTATGATGGTCAAGACTTCACAGAAATGAATTGTGATTATAGAAAGCAATCTCAACCAGAGCCTGGTTTAAGCATTCCATCCTTTTGAGAATGTCCAGTTATAAATCCTAGAGGTCAGTTACTAGAATCACAGCCCATCCTGGCGATGAGGTCAGATGCCATCAGAGGGAGGAAACTTTGGATAAATTCCAACAGGTCTGCTGGCAAGTGTAGGGCGCGGCTATAGGGTTAAGCCTTGGACTGACCTGTTGGCAAAGCCTCAAACAAGTCCCAGCTTAGAGGGCACAGTCCTCTTAGTATAATTAGGCTTGACTTTAGGACTCTCCTTAGATCTTATCTGAGTAGCTAAGGGGCTGAGGGAGATGCAGCAAGTGCTGCCAAAACAAGTGAAACTCACAAGAACATTGTAACTATGGTGACCACTACCTTGTTTACCTCTGGCTATAAAATAAAGGCTCAGCTTGCCTCTGGATCTCTCTCTCTGTGGCATCAGCCAGGCACAGGAAGATCCACCTAGACCAGTGATGGCGAACCTTTTGAGCTCGGCATGTCAGCATTTTGAAAAACCCTAACTTAACTCTGGTGCATGTCACATAAAGAATTTTTTTTGATATTTGCAACCATAGTAAAACAAAGATGTATATTTTTGATATTTATTTTATATATTTAAATGTCATTTAACAAAGAAAAATCAACCAAAAAAATGAGTTTGCGTGTCACCTCTGACACACGTGTCATAGGTTCGCCATCACTGACCTAGACCCAGCTTATTCTCTTGGTCTGTCTTTTCTTCATCCTTCACCGCCCTCACTCAGGCTTGCGAAACCCTTGGCTGAGCTGGCTCAGCACAGGCAAGGACTCCAGGCTGGCAGCAGCAGAGGACAACTGTAAAGTATTTGTGACCTTGCCAAACTGACCCCAGGTGCTCTCGCAGGTGGTCCACACTTCAGCCCCATGCTCACGCCTGTCCAGTCTTCAGATTTGGCAGAAATGATTCCAGGAATTGGTCTGGTGTCTCTCAGCTCCTCTGCAAACCATTTCTGGTGTCTGAGGAAGATATCAGGAAACAAAAAGAACGTAAAAACAGCAACAGGGAGACTAGTGATATAGCATTGATAGTAGATTGCTTTGGGCAATATAGACATTTTAACAATGTTAATTCTTTCTATCCATGAGTATAGTATATGCTTCCATTTATTTGTATCTACTTCAGTTTCTTCAGTGTCTTGATTTAGTGAATACAGGGTTTTTTTTAATCTCCATTGTTAAATTTATTTCTAGGTATTTTATTTTTTTATTCAATTATAAATAAGCTATTTAGAAATTTTTCTTTTTGATCATTTTTTAAATATGAATTTTATTATGATTATATAAATGAAGAAATATTTCATATATTTCTATATAAATTTCATATGTTTCTATATATTTTATATATAAATTCTATGAGCAAATGTTGATGTATTTTTTTATTTCTTATTGACAGTATTACTGATGACTCCCATTTTCCCTTCCTTAATCCCCTCCTACCAAGTCCCTGCACCCTCCCCCCTCCACACACATACACCAGCCATCACCACACCGTTGTCTGTGTTCATGGGCTATGCAATAAGTTCTTTGGCAAATCCCTTCACCTTATTTCACCCAGTCCTTGCCATCCCTTCCCTTCTGATCTCTGTCAGTCATTTCTGTGTATCCATGCCTCTGGTTCTATTTTATTAGTCAGTTTATTATTTTTCCACCAGATTCTACATGTAAGTAATATCATATGGTACCTGTTTTTCTCCGTCTGGCTAATTTTGCTTAGCATAATAATCTCCAGGTCCATTCATGCAGTCACAAAAGGTAAGAGTTCCTTCTTTTTTACAGCTGCATAGTATTCCATTGTATAAATGTACCACAGCTTTTTGATCCATTCATCTGCCAATGGACACTTGGGCTGTTTCCGGGTCTTGGCTATTGTAAATAACACCACTATGAACATAGTAGTGCATATATTCTTTTTGATTGGTGTTTCAGGATTCTTAAGATATATTCCCAGAAGTAGGATCACTGGTCAAAAGGCAGTTCCATTTTTAACTTAATGAGGAAACTCCATACAGTGTTCCACAGTGGCTGCAACTTTCTGCATTCCTACCAACAGTGCATGAGGGTTTCCTTTTCTCCACAATCTCCTCAGCACTTATTTGTTGATTTATTGATGGTAGCCATTCTGACAGGTGTGACGTGACACCTCGTTGTGATTTTAATTTGCATCTCTGATGATTAGAGATGTTGAGCATTTTTTTCATATCTCTATTGGCCAGCTGTATGTCCTCTTTGAAGAAGTGTGTATTTGGGTCCTTTACCTATTTTTTAATTGGATTGTTTGTCTTCCTGCTGTTGAATTGTATGAGTTCTTCATATATTTTGGAAATGAAGGCCTTATCAGATGTATCATTGGCAAATAGATTCTCCCATACAGTGGGCTCCCTTTTCATTTTGTTGATGGTTTCTTTTGCTGTGCAGAGCTTTTTAGTTTGATGTGGTCCTATTTGTTTATTTATTCCTTTGTTTCCCTTGTTGTAGGAGATGTATCAGCAAGAATATT